GTGGCTGTTGTCCTGTCTTCTTGTCTTTCTCTCTAGTAGGAGGTGCATCCTCGGAGAAAAGAATGGCAGGTCAAGAAAGGCTACGAGCAACTACATGTAAACTTTATCGTGGTCCCATTTTGTTTGTCCGATATATTTTCGTGTTTTGGGCACTTTCTCTTGTCATGTCTTCGCTGCCTGGTCTCCGTTTGCATCCCTTGCCCTTAACACTGATTTGCTAGATCCTCTCAAAGTTTAATCGTTACTGCCATGCTGGACCAGAAGACCTCTAATCGTACGACAACAACCTCTTTCTTTTTTTTCTTCTCTACCTTGCTGATGGATTGACATTGTCTGTGTTTCTCGTTGTGTTGTCACAGTGTTAATGTCATTGTGCCTCAGCTTCATATCGAAATACGGAATACGGGATACCTGTCCAGGAATTACTTGGGCTCTTCTTTGACAGCAGGTAAGATACATCTCTATTAGATGAACAGACAAATTCTTCCACGTAGGACGGATTCTTCCCTGAGGTTCTGTAGCGCAGAATACTCCCCAATGTCTCGCCCTGTGTCTCGCTCCTCCTTTCTCGTTCTCTTTGTCCCCCGTCTTTTGCCCTCACATAATTTGTACAACGCTTTTAAAAACAAGGCGAGTTGCACAAAAGAAATACCTAGCACCTTATCGTGTACTCTGTAATACAGTGCTGCTGCATCTGCTGTGGTACGGCGATGTTATGCACCAGGTCGTCAGTCACGACGCAAAATGTATACTCTCCATTACTGCATCTTCAACCGTTTCATTTCCTCCTTTTTCATCCAACTCTGGGTGTTCTTGTTCTCTTTGTGTTCCACATTTGTGTTCTTCTGGCTCGTATGTCCTAACTCGGCCTCTAATCGAGCGAAGCAAATCCTCTCGTCGGGATACAACCGCCCAGAACCATGGTTTGGGTTGCAACCCGATCCGAGCGCATTGTAACGGGGCGGTCTGACAGGTACGGCGAACGACGCACTCCGTTCAAGAGCGTCTGGGACATGATCCTTCTAGTAAGCGGTCGCCCCCATTATTGTGTCGCATCGCTGTCGCTCTGCCGCACGGCTCCATTCAACACGTTTCGGCTCCGTGATGACCTCTCTTCATTTCTGTCCGAAATCGAGACCCCTTGTTTTTTTTTTCAAACATGGTCTCTTTCGCACACTTTTTACTGTTTTACTTTTTACACATGGCCGTCTCTTCGTCACGGGCGATCTGCAACAAGCCGCCGTTATGGCCAAAGTGGAGGGCGCAACGCGTCTTTTTTGCTAAAGGTGGGGGGCCACGAGCTACTTGCAACTCGTCTGGCCCACTGCTCTATTAGTGGAGGTGCTAAAAGACACGCTAACCAAGCCCCACAGCGCTGCAAAAGGCCCTAAGCCGCTCCGGATTAGTTGTCGCATCATGAAAGCGAAAAAACGACATGTACTCCGTCCTCCATACATATACATCGCTGAAGGAGCATGTGCCACATCGTCTTCCAAGAGCCAGTCGTGCTTACATGCTGCGCCGCTTACCATCTCAGTTTGTGGAGGCTCCATATCGCAGTTTAGCCACCGTAAGGAATACACAAAATCTCAACGACATTGCCTGGTTTGCAAACTTCTTTGAAAGGTGTATTCAGCGTCTGAGGCGGCAATTTGTGTGTCCTGGCCGTCGCGTTCAAACAACTCAAGAATCCAGAGGACACAGGCCGGGGCCTGTCGCTTTACTTGCCGAAGACTGCTATCCGCGCGTTTCCTGCGGTAAAAATCAGAAGCAGCCCTTCCCCCCCCCCCACTGTGAGTGTCTAAAACACCTCTCCTCACACTAGGGTCTGGACACACACAAAAAACTGCATGCGCTTGTCTTTGCAGTTGCCCGGTATCTTCCATGGCATATAGTTCATTTGCACTCAATTGCCACTTTACTCCTCTCTTCGTCTGCCTGGAAAGGACGCTGTAGACGCACTGGCTGTAGGCGCCGTCGACTCTGGGACTTTAGGCGTCTATTCGCGCTCCTGGCCACGTTTGTAAACACCCGTTTTGTGCCGCCTCTCAAGAACCGAGCAGGCGACCACACCTTTCAGTGACCCTTCTGTTCCGTCTTCTATGTTGTCCAGTGTGTCTGTGTGTCTGCTGCTCTTCCCTCGCCTCAATTCGGGACGATTGCTATTGCGGCTCGCCGACTTTCTTAATAGACCATTGCTCCCTCCTCCTTCGGATACCAGCCTCTTGTCTCTCCTTTTCGCCGGACATCGTATGACTGTATTCTTCTGATTTTTTGACCCTCATTCTGCCTGTATCTTTGCATGCCAATCCGGTCTCGAGGGTATCTCGTCCCCGCATACCCTGACATCTTGTATGCACCCATGGCAAACAGCCGCACAACCCTCCCCTCGCCCAAAGCACTCCATTCTCCTCCCTTGTTACTCCCACGCCCTGCCCCGCAACGGCAAGGGTCCCAGCCAAGCCTGGGACAGATAATTACGACGTAGACTCGTCAAGGTGGATGCAAAAATGCACTACAAAATGGCCGCTTAGTTTTGGTCTGCCCACACCACCTCACGTTATTTCACTACGCTCCCTTAGTCTTTGCCCTCACACCCCCCCATCTCACAAAACGCTCACCTCCACATCACAACACAAACAACCAACACCCGCAACTTACACGCCGGTTGATATTGCCTGTACTGTAGGAAAGGGCAGGTCCTGTTGCTTTGTCTTCTGTCTGTCTGGCAGAGAAAATCTAGAGACCATGATTACCGAGCACACAAGTCTCTTTTGGTGTTACTTGAGCGGATTTCGTGCAAAGTAAAAACGTAATTACTTTTACCGTCTCGTCCTTCTTGGGTTCAAAAACGTGTGCCTCATCGTATGTCGCGTAAACAGCAATGTGGGCAATCATCATAACTGTCGATGTACGTTCATCAGCCGGAAAGACATAGTCATTTACAAGCAAATGCCCAACTTCTTATTCGTAGATTCAACATGCAACGAGAGCACAATGGAATGCCTTGCTTGCAGTGTTGCTGCAACGTTCTGCGAGAATATCCGTTCCACCTCGACTGGACGTATTGTTTTCGGCCCCCAACGTCATGGGGTCGTCTATGAGGCCAGGACTATTTCATGGTTGCCTCTCCTCCCTCTTTTCGTTTCAAAGTTGTTCGTTTTGCTTTTTTGCATCCATTTCAGTCCACATTTGAATGCCCCCCCCCCCCCAAAAAAAAGTCGTCTCTACTACTTGGTGCTCCCATCCTATTTATAAAACTATCTTGTGCTTGGTTCTCACTTGCCTCATCGTCTTGAAACATCTTCGCCTCCCTTGCTTCTACAAGCAGAAAGATCTGTAGAATTTACCCTTCTTTCGTAACAAAAAAAATATTGTGCAACTGCATACCTCGTCGCAGTGGCTTCTTCACTTCCTGTCTGCTCTTGCCTCTTAGTTTTGTCTTCCCCACGCCTTTCAAAGACACGCATATCATACACGTACACGCTCACGCCAGTTTTTGCCTTTGTTCTTGACAATTTCAGAACAGCCACATTTCCACGGTGCTCACTTGGCCATTTGGCACCTTTGTTCTTGCATTCGCATACCTGGTGGAGTGTGATCGTCAAGACCACTACAAAGCAAGCATCGAGACTAAACAGGACACCAGAACGAAACCAAAATCAGAAAAGGAAAAGGAAAATAGAAGAGAAAGGCATGACCAGGGACCAAAAACATCTTTCCGAAACCATCACTTATCCATTTGTCGGCCGACCCTAAGTATCTCTTGTATTGTCTCTCTACAGGCATCTTTTTTGTCTCTGCCACCTACGACCTGCAGCCACCCTTGCCGCAATCGCTCGCTATCCTTTGTCCGCCTCTCCAGACTTCTTCTCTCCTTCTGTCTATCTCACCATTTATTCGCTAAGACAGCTCGAGTCTCAGACCAGAACAAAACAAATCTACATCAAAACCGACCCGTGGACGAAAGGTCACAACAAATAGCTTCCAGTGAGAGATTTTCGGGTGCGCTTGCTGATGACCTGACCTCTCCGATATCATTGCGTCTCAATCCGGACCGCACGCTCCCTTTGCATCAGCCTTATCCCAAGGCCCATCAACATCAACTGGAGCGAGTCAAAACTACCTCAAAAACACGCGTCGGCCGAATCGAAAGCGTATTCAGCAGCATGCATATCAACTCGACTGTGGGGATTGATATCGGCTCCGCCACCTCTTCGACATCGGCCACCTTTTCTACGCAGCAAGATATGGCCCGGTACAGCACGGTATGTATATTGTATATTGTCACATTCACCTCTACGACTTACACACGACCCAATAGCGCCTCCCCTAGTTTAGCGTCTTCAGAGGCGAAGAGAGTCCAGAGCCCTACAGACGAGGGGTCGTTAGAGCCAGCAGACGCCTCTGGCCTCTCTGCTAGCGCTGTTAGCCGCTTGGTTTGGTGCGCTGGCTCCTGCTCTTTCCTCGTCTTGAGCCCTTTGCCATGTCAAGCCCATCCCAATCTCCCTCCCTCTTGCCCCCAAGCCTGTCTGCTACAGTACCCTGTTCATCTTCGTTCTTTCCTCTCTTTATTTTTCTCTTTTCTGCAGTCCTTCTCTTTTTGATAAATACCCACCCCCTCCTGTTTCTTTTTTTTCCGTCTTCCTCTTTCCGACCCATTCCCCTCTCACCTTGCTCTCCTTCAACTTCTCGACTTTGTAAAAATTCCATTATATCTACTGACATCTTTCCCCCTCCGTCTCTCTCCTTTTACACAGCAAGTCTCCAAGTTCACTCTACCAACGTCCTCGGATAGTCTGTTGACGCCAACATCTGTTTCTGGATCACCGTTGTCCCGCAACCTGTCTTTCTTCAATACACAGAGGCCCCAACACCAACACCAACATCAACACCAACACCAGCAACCGGTTAACAAAAGGGCTCAAATTTCACTTCCCACTGTATCTGCTCATTCAGACGACCCGGCCAAAGCACTGCTCCTAGATCACTCAACGGCAATGTCTCACTCCGGAAATCATCACTACCCTCATAACCAGCAGCCAACGCCGCCTTCCTCCGGCATGCAGTATGCTTATGAGAACGCGTCCGAAGCACCGCCCATCACAGGCCAACCTTCAGTCGCGCCTGCCTATGACATGAGTAGCTACTCGTACCAGTCTCCCAAGGAGGAAGGCCTTCCCACCACCATGGATAGCTACCAGTTCGGCTCCTACACGGCGACTGCACCGTCACATCCCGACGAGACCACTGGCTCGCCCTCTGTGTACTCGTACAGCCCTGCCATGAATGCCGGGAGCTCCCAGTATCTGACCCAGGCCCAACAGCGTCTCCCGCCGCCCGGTCCGGCCATGTACTCTCCGTATGGGGCGCCGCCGACACAGCACGGCCATCAGCAACAGCAGCATCCGCAGCACCCGCAAGGCCTGGCACCGCTTCTCTCCCACCCTCGACCGATGACCTACCGCACCGACCGCACTATGGCCAGTGACTACTCCAGCATGGCCCCGATCGCATCGCTGGCTCAGGCTCCACAGAGCACCGACGTGCCGGGAGGCTCAAACTACCGCCGTCTGCCACCTGCCACAGTCAACGACCAAAGCCGCACGCCGCGCACCCAGGCTGGCTCCATCGGTGACGTTAGCCAGCTGTTCCAAGCCAACGGCACTGCTGATGTGACGAGCCCAAATCGGCCTCGCTTTGCGTCAGACAGCTTCCGCAAGGCTCTCACGCCCGACAAGGAGAGCCTGTTGGTTTCGGATACCGACGAAATCAAGTTGAATCACCAGGCACCAGAGCAAGCTCAGTTCATCTTCAACCAGCGCCAGACGCACAGTTCTCTACAAGGCAAGGGACTGTGGGAATATGTTGCGTCGAAGTTCCAGGTGGAGTTCCCCGATGGCCAGTGTTCAAATGCCCGCCTCCAGATGACACTCACCCGCGCCAGGCGTCGGTTTGCGAGATATCCTAAATACATGGTACGTTTCGGCTTTATTTCGTTCATTGTTGTTCGCACGGTCAGGCGTCAAGGTGGCTAACAATATACCGCAGTTGGAAAACTTCATGATGGTCTACGAGAGGGAAGAAAAGGCCAAGTATGTACGTTACGCCAAAATGCTCAACGACATCAATGCCCAGGATGGCAAGAGCAAGAGCTTTGAGTGGAAGCCAGCCGACGTTGAGTCGATTGCCTGTCGCATTGGTTTCGAGGAGCCGGCTCCAGATCCCAACACCAGCCTCCGCAACCGCCGCAATATCACGCGCAAGAAGCTGCAGGCTGCGAGCTCGTCGCAACGGGGGCGCGCTCAGTCGACGGTGATGGCGCCCGTGTGGAGCAACAATGGCTATATGCCTGGAAACCAGCAGTACCCCCTTCCGAGTCCACACCAAGCCCACGCCGACGAAGCGTGCATCTACAACATTGAGCCGGCGGATCTGACCGAGGAACAGTCGTCGGCTCTCGCGGATACTCTGGCACTCCGGCACGGCTCGAACGACTACGCCGAGGACGCACTTAGTTCCGGCCACAGCAACTCGCCCATTGATCAATCTATGGACAACGCGACCCCCCAGTCTAGCACTTCGACCTACTCGCGTACACAGCAGTCTCCTTCCCCTGGGGGTACGGGCATGCACCTTCACATGTCACCTCATTAGCGAAGGATTCCGTCTCGAGTTTCGCCTTGTTGGTGACTTCGTCTGTTTCTTCTTTTTTGTCTTTTTTTAATGCTCTTTCGCTGCTTCCCTTCTATGTTTCCTTGATTTTGCACCTTTCTTACATTCATTTTATTCTTGTGGAATGTTACCCTATGTTCACCATCACCTATTCCTTGCCGCTTGTTCGCTTGGGGGCATGTGGTCTAGCTACCTTTTGAAGATCTCATATTTTGTCTGGGAGGTCCAAGTTTTGTGTTTTACTTGTTTGTTTTTTGTTATATTTCTTGTTTGTTTGCATCGATTCCCCCAACTGGTTTCCCTATTTCTTTTTATATTGATGGATCGCATGTCCCTCACACTTTGGTTTTGTTTTTGGTATCGACATCCAAATTGGGTTTGGGCAATCAAGGTCTGGGTTTTATGGGACAAAACATGGCTTGGAGTATTGTTGAGTGCTTCGTATACAGATAAGGGGCTGCCCTATTTTATTTTTGGTCACCGGGGTTTTTGGTTTTTCGTTTTGCTTTTCGTCATTGGTATGTTATGGGACTAATTTCGTCAGTTTGATGATTTTGTCATCGTGTCTGGTCTTTTTTTCCCATTTGTTTTTTTTTTTTTTTTTTTTTTTTTTTTTGGTTTTTGTTTATGGTTCCAGAGTATTTTTTTCTCGTCTCTCTTGTCTACTGTTCGTTGTAATAGTCTAAGGTTTAAATATCATTTCTGACACGCAATCAATGGTCTTTTTACCTTGGAACCCATTTTCTCAGAAAATCTATCCCGTACTCATAGCAATATTGCAAATATCCAAAGCAGCAATATGCGTACGATATGCCATGTATACGGGGCTCGCATGACATTAACTGTACATCGGATCTAAAGTCGTCGTATTAAACGCGACTTATATTATTGTAATTTTACTGGCCTTTTATCTATTTTGTTTGGTGTCCTGCTCATCACATCTTTTTGCAGCTACTAGCTTCTGTTGCTCTCACTTGTTCCATTTTTTGGTCCTGTCACGTTACTTTTAGCTGCAACAGATAAATAACAGCTTCTGTGACACGTTGTTGGCCGCGTTCCTTTCGGATTCATCCGGATGACAGATGGACCAATCCAGGACCGAAAGGGGAAACGATCCAGAAAATAACAAAATTCGATATGGCCAACGATAAAGAGTTATTGTGAAGGAAGAAGGGATGAGAATTTGGTGCATTGCCTTCTTACTCAGTCACGACATTAATCACGGTAGTTCGTATGTTGTGTCGTTGGATGGTTGTATTGATACTTTTCATTCTAGTGCATGTTTGTTGTCTGTTGGCCAATACTCGACACAATTTTCACAAAGGTGACAGGAGGAAGTGTCATACTGGTAGGTAGGAAATTGTGTTTCATTGGACGTTTAACAGGGAGCAACGAGCAGGGGGGCCACAATATTTGTTCGCCGCTGATGAACGACGAAGAATAATGAGCAAGAAATGTGTTTTCTCATCATTAATGATTAACTATCGAAATTTAATAATTATAATGCAAATAAAATATAATACAAATAAAACAAAACACGTGTCAGATAAAGACAGAAAGCAGATTAAAGATCTCATTGATGTGATATAATTACAATGAAAGACAAGTTCGACATACGTTGTCCGATGAAATAAAATGACAAAGTCAAGATCGCATGTGACCCATCAAAATGATTTGTTGTCGCTGGTTACTAATCCTCGATGTGGGACACCACCGCCTTTGGCTGTTTGCAGCCACCAGGCAAGACCATACGAGTATATAGAATATAAAGTACCAAAATTCCAGGTGCAAATTCATAAGAAGACAAGCGGCTGCTGTCGGATACTGGGCAACTGGCAGCGTCTTAAATTAAAAGACGCTCGATGTTGATGCATTATCACGTGACACAAATTGCGCCACAGTTCAGCCTCGCCAGAATCAGCCACATCTATTATGCAGACGAGCCTCGCAAGTCCAGGCGACGTTGCCCAAAATACCCCTGCCGTCCCTAGTTCGATTTCTGGTTGGAGGTGCGCGATCCCTGATTTCTGGGACAGTTTAGCATTCCAGGCCCTGCGATAATACCACGTGAGGTGGATGCAGGAGGAAGTTGATTACAAACTTTCATCCCATCTTTCCTTGCCCACCTTTCCCCCCTTTCATTGCTGCCTGCAACGAGCGGCTTTCGTTTCGTTTTATTCCACTGCTTTGGCAGCGACACATTTTCTCCTATGCATTCTCCAGTCTCCTTATCGGACTGCCTTTGTTGGTGATGTCTGGACTCGGAGGCATCGACCGGCGGCCAATGGCTGCGGCGGCCGTAGGCGGACACGTGCGCTCGCGGACGGCGTCGTTTCTGCTGCCAATATTGCTCCTGCTTCAGGCATGTTCATGGCTGCCGTTCGCGCAAGCCATGATGGGACCCGACCGCATGGCGGATCTGCGGCGTGCAACAGTTGACATGTTCTACCACGGCTTCAACAACTATATGCACATTGCCTTTCCCGAAGATGAGGTTTGTGCAGGTCCTAGGAGTGTAGATTGACGACCATGTGACTGACTGAAACCCTCCCTTACCAGCTGCGACCTGTTTCCTGCGTGCCCTTGACGAGAGACAACCTCAACCCGCGCAACGTGGAACTTAACGACGTCCTCGGAAACTACTCCCTCACCCTCATCGACAGTCTCTCGACACTGGCCATCCTGGCATCGGCACCTCCCGAAGACGGCGATACTGGTGCAAAAGCGCTCCGAGACTTCCAGGACGGTGTTGCGGCACTGGTTGAACAGTACGGTGATGGACGGCCGGGGCCCTCAGGCGCCGGCCTCCGCGACGGGGGTTTGACATGGACAGCAAGGTGCAGGTGTTTGAGACGGTCATCCGCGGCGTCGGCGGTCTGCTGAGTGCCCACCTCTTTGCTGTGGGCGAGCTGCCCATTTCGGGGTACGTGCCGCCGCCAGCACCAGCGCATCCAGACGAACGGCAGACGCCTATCCCGTGGCCAAACAATTTTGTCTACGACGGCCAGCTGCTGCGCCTGGCCCTCGACTTGGCCACTCGCCTCTTACCCGCCTTTTATACGCCCACGGGGATGCCCTACCCGCGCGTCAACTTGCGCCACGGCATTCCCTTTTACGTCAACTCACCGTTGCATGGCGACAGCACGGGCAATGATGGCAGCGACGGGTCAGCACGACAGAGGGCGAGTGGCCCGGTCGAGATCACGGAGACCTGCAGCGCCGGAGCTGGCAGTCTAGTGCTCGAATTCACGGTGCTGAGCCGGCTCACGGGTGACCTGCGCTTCGAGCAGCTGGCCAAACGCGCCTTCTGGGCCGTTTGGTACCGTCGCAGCGACATTGGCCTCATCGGCGCAGGCGTCGATGCCGAGCAGGGTGGGTGGATCGGTGCCTACTCGGTGATTGGTGCGGGCGCCGACAGCTTCTTTGAGTATGCCCTTAAGACGCACATCCTGTTGTCGGGCCACGACCTGCCCAACCGCACACTGGCTGCACGCCCACCGGCGCACCACCGCGTTCCCGTCCGGATACAGGACGCCACGACCGGGGCTGAGACTGCGCTCGTGTGGCACGACCCCAACGCCATTTTCCCCGTTCTGAGCGACGCGGAGAACTCGCCCGAGTCGTTTTTGAATGCTTGGCACCTGGCGCATGCGGCCATAAAGCGCCACCTGTATAGCGACCGTGAGCACCCTCACTATGTCAACGTCAATCTATGGACTGGTTCTCTGGCTGCGCAGTGGATTGACAGCCTGGGCGCCTACTACTCAGGCCTCCTGACACTGGCCGGTGAGTTGGAGGAAGCCATCGAGACGAACCTGCTGTACACGGCCGTGTGGGCCAAGTATGCGGCGCTGCCGGAGCGCTGGTCTGTAAGGGACCGCACGGTCGAGGGCGGCCTGGGATGGTGGCCGCTGCGGCCCGAGTTTATCGAGTCTGTGTACCACATCTATCGGGCGACCAAGGACCCGTGGTACCTGTACGTGGGCGAGATGGTGCAGCGCGACATTACGCGGCGCTGCTGGACCGAGTGCGGCTGGGCCGGCCTGCAGAATGTGATGAGCGGCGAGATGTCGGATCGCATGGAAAGTTTCTTTTTGGGCGAGACTGCCAAGTACATGTACTTGCTGTACGACGACCGCCACCCGCTGAACTCGCTCGACGCGGCCTATGTGTTTACGACCGAGGGCCACCCCCTTATTATACCCAAGCGCCGGCGCGCGCCTGACAGCTTGAAAAGCGAAAATGTGAGAACGAACAACGCAAAGAAGGATAAGACGGCTACTACGAATACTACGACAGAAACAAAGAAAACGAAAGAATCGAAAATCACAAACACCGAAGGGACTAAGGAGCCTGAGCCCACGCGTTCCGGTATTCCTGGTCAACCGGAGCCGGATACAACTGACGCCGGCGATCTGGGCTGGTACGACAACGACGGCTTTACAAATGTATGCCCCCTGCCACCACACCCCGATCTTTTTACAGGTTCTGCTGTGACGGCGCGCAAAAACATCTACCATGCGGCCAAGATGCTTGAGTTGCACTTGATGCCGGCAAAGGGCGCCGAAGGCAATGCCAGCACCAGTGCCAGCGGCCGTCCGAAGCGACATGCATCCTCCTTTTTTCCTTGGACGCTCCCGGAGGCCATGCTCCCTACCAATGGGACCTCATCCAAGGTGCGGCAACCAACCGAGATGAGCCTCGAGTTCTCAGCACAGCCGCCCGAGGCCGCCGTTGCGGGACAGGGCAACGGCAACGGCATCCACGGCAACCTGCTGTCCGGCGCCAACCTGCTGAACCGTGTCGCACCCGACAAGATCCGCGTCAACAGCATATCGGGCTTGAAGCTGATCTTCCGATTAGAAGAAGAAAATGGCGAAAGGTCGTGGCGAGTGACACGCGTCAACGGTGTACCTCTGGGCCGCGACGAGGGGCTCTTGCTCGACCGTGCGCTGGTCAGCCACATTTCGGATGCGCGCTTCAATTTGGTGCGCGACCCCACCATAGCCAAGCTGCATCACCTCCACCACGCGGTGTGGATGAGCTCGCCACAGGAGGGCGAGCCGGACGGCCCAGTTGTGGTGCTCCTCGACGACAGCAGCAACGCAGACACTGAGGATGGCACAGACGAACGTGAGACCAACGATCACAGCCATGGCGCTCCCCACCACGACAATCGTGACGCGATCGAAGAGGGCCAAACCGCAGACGATCAATCTTGCGCGAGCACATCTGGGCTGACGACGCTCGTCAAGTCCTTTTGGCGCCAGATCGTGTCTTCGCTCGACGGACCGGCCCATGCCACGCCCGTGCCCGGATCGTCCATGGGCCAGCGGCGACATCCGCTCCACCACGCATCCTTCTGCAACAAAAGCGGCGGGGCTGGCCGCCGACGGTCAACTGGACCGCCCCTTAATGTCGTCCTGAACTCGACCGGTGTCACGCCCACGGGCATCGGTGCCGCGTCGTTGCCGTCCATTGACATCCCTGCCGGCGCCGTCCTCCCCGCATCGGGTCCCGTGTCGCTGGATCTGCTGCCGTGGCGCTCTGTCTACGCCGGTGGCCAAGCATGTGATGTGCCCCTGCCCGAAACGGCCGTGCGCGACCACCAAGTGCTCGTTTTGCGCCGTGGCGGCTGCACCTTTTCCGACAAGCTCGCCAACATCCCGTCGTTTGCGGCGAGCCCCCGGCGGCTGCAGCTGGTTGTGGTCGTGAGCGACGATGACGACGTGCGCGTCGGCAGCAGCGGTCCCGGCGGCCCACTGTCGCCCATGACGTTCCATGACGACCCGCAAGACTTTGTACGCCCGCTGCTGGACGAGACGCAGCGGACGCCAAGCGGACTGGTGCGGTGGCAGCCGTTAGCGATGGTCATGGTGGGTGGTGGCGAGGAGGCGTACCGACAGCTGGCCGGGGCGCGGCAGTTTGGTCTGACGCGGCGATACAGCGTAGAGAGCCAGGGGGTGCGGATCCGCAATGTTATTATTGACGACGGTGATGAGGTGTGAGGTAAATGGCACAGCGAGGGGGTTATTTGTATGACGTGCCCTTGTACATACACACATTGTCAGGATAGGCGTTTTGGTCCATTGTTTCGCATCGTTCTAGCTGCTATTTTTTCATGTTACCATTTCACGAAGCACACGTTGTTCATCTTCTTGCCAGCATTGTGATATGCAAGTGTATTTTGTATTGAATTTCGCAATGTCGGTGAATGGAAGATATTTAATGCCAGTTTCCCAACGGTGAAGCATATATATGTCTACCAATCAGACACTTCTCCTGTACAGCCAACCGCCCGTCCCTTTCGCTTAACCAAAGATCAGCTTGAAGACGTCGTTGTACACAAAGTAGTTGGCGCCGTCCTTGGCCAGGTGGAAGACCTGGGTGAAGTTCATGGGGCGCTCCTCGTCGTCGACCTGCAGCTGGCCAGTGACGAGGACAATGACGCCGTCGCCAACGGTGGGTTGGGGGTCGAGGGTGGACGTGACGTGCTTGACACGCTGGAAAGGGAGGTTCTGGGAACGGCTTTAGCAAGTGCCATTGCAGCTCCGTAGTATGCTGTCCTCGACTCACCTTGAGCTTCTCGACAATGGCGACGGCACCGAGGACCGAGGACGACTCGAACGTCAGCATGGAGTTGTCGCGCTGGTTTCGGCGATTGGTTAGCAAGTGTGTGTCAACTTTATCGGGGCCCAATGCATGCCCAAAGGCAGCTTCTCTGCCTCGTTCGTTGTCGTTCGTCTGCCGTCGCCTCTGAGCCATCCAATTACACTGGGCAAAGGTGACCGTCCAGAGGTGGCGCTGGTGCCCCTCTTTGCATCTTCATGGCCGGGAGAGTCTTACGTAGAGGCTTTGCAGCTGCGTGCGGTCGGTGTCAAAGGTGTTGTAGTAGAAAGCAACAAACTGCTCTGTGCGCGGACGAAAACAACGGTTAGCATCGGGGTTCGAGGTGCGTCTGTGTGTGCATGTGACGACGAGTCTCGGATTAAGAATTCGTGATGTCGGCTCGCGTCATCGCGGCATCGCGACCGCATATCATGGAGTTGGAGATGGACATATGCCAAAATCAGGAAGGGTTGGACATACGCGCAACGTTCTGGAAATCTGCGGAGACAAGCGTTAGCACGCGGGCGGACGATGAATAGAGGTAAAGAAAGGAGGCCGGCCAGATAAACAGCGCGACTGAGGCAGCATGTGACCGAACAGGAGAGCGCAATGTTTTCTTTCCCATCTTCGTTTCTCGATCTCCGTTTCAACCATTCCATCTTCTCCTAGTGTCCGTCCCTCCTCTGATGCGCCTTTTCTGTACTTACCGTTCGCCATTTTGACGGATGTATGAGGGGTATCAAAGACAAGAAAGAAACAACGTGGGCGACGTGAGGTGTGGTTTGCTTCGTTTGACGTTGAAAAGAGACAGGAGAAAACAGGAGAAAGCAAGACGATAGAGACGAAGAAAAAGGGTGAAAAAGGGTAGCTAGCTTTAGGCCTTGGATGAGGGGGTAAGGTCGAAAACACAAGGCAGGAGCGACGGCGCGCTGCTGTCCAGCGGGGTTACCGTTCGGGGTTGCGCAAAATGCGCTACGATTGGTAAAGGTGGGGTTGCTCCTGCCTTGTCTTGGGCTACTCAAGCCAATCAGCCATGTGTGACATTTTTGTTGGGCGTTGCACCTGCCCGTCATTTTTAGTGGATGAGGTTTCTGGAGGGCGGCGCAGAGAAGGCAGCTACGACCACTGTTGTTGCTATGCAAACAGTGTGGTCGCGGTGGAGTCTGAGCACAAGGCGGTGTAGACGTTTCTGCCCATCTGGTGGCCCATATAAATTGTAAAAAATCGACAGCTCCAGATTTCGTCCCCTTCTTCTTCTTCTTCTTCCACGCCATGAACACAAAACACCAGCCTTGTCGTCTCTTCATTGTTGGCTGCACGCCGACATTATCAATGGAGACGGCCCAATTTGTGAGTATTATGATGCATTGCACGTTAAAAGCGCCAACAACACAACCTAGTGCGCGCGGCGCTCTAGATGATGATTAAACCTTTGAACGGCCAACTGAAATCAAACTCCATGTTGATTCTCAAGACACACAAATCAAGCTCAACAGTCTGATTATTGCGCTTGCACATGCACTGGGTTGTGTTGAAGCTGGGCGACATTGCTGTCGATCTGGTCTCACTCTTTGAATCATTGATTGCGCCAGCTAACAATAAATAGTTCTCGAAGAGATTATTCTATACCGTGAAGCCTCTACGTCAAGTCTCGCCGTTGTCCACCCTCGAAAACGGAATGACACCCTCGACGGTGTCGTCGTCGGCGTTCCAGAACTCGACCACGAGCGTATGCGCCCGCCCACCGGCGCTAACCTCGAACCAAGCGCGCCCGTAGCTCTTGAAGTTGCCGCTGTGCTCGTACAACATATCTGTGTACAGAAGCCAATACTCGCCTGAGACGTGCACAAATTCGCACAGCTTCGGCCACGTGTAGTCGTGGCGCTCGGCTGTGAACGCCACCTCGTAGTTGTTTCTGCTGTTTATTTTGTGCCCGCTGTCCTTGCGGGCCAACTCGATTGTCATGTTCTGGTAAGCGGGATGGTGGTAGGTGCCTGTATAGTCGACTAGAGGCAGCGACGGTTGTAAAGGCGGCTCTGCGCGACCCGGGTAAAGACGGTCCAGCGCACCATCGATGCGCGCGGCGCGTGCTTTAACCGATCGACGGAACCGAGCATCCCAATCATAGCGCTCGTCCGCCGGGATGCCAAAGCGCTCACTTGCCAGGTGCCAGAGCAGGATCAGCTCGGCCATGTTGGACGTGGTGGCCGTGTTGCCAAAGAGCACAACGCCGAAGCGGTCGTCGGGAAAGAAGTACACCTCCGCGCCAAATGCACTGATGGTTGTTAGTCCGTCTGCGATTACAACTGCATGTAGCTGGCAGAGAGCATGCATGTACTTACTTGCTGCCGCCCGAGTGCCCCCAGAACCGATGTCCTTTGTAGGAACCTGTTGTCCAGGCACTGGCATACGCCAAGGGCGCATCAAATGGCGCCGGCGAGGCTGTGCTCTTTCCGAGGAACATCTTTGGTGCCAACACGGCGTCGAGACTGGGCCGCTGGAACGGAATGCCCCCACAGACATCTGCCGTGCTGCTGTTGCTCCCTTTGCTCGAAAACGCCGGCCCGTCGATCCAGCACCGCAACCACCGCGCGTAGTCGTTGACCGACGAGATGATGCCGCCCGCGCCGCTCACCTCCTCCAGCGGCATATGCGGGACACCCACGTACTCGTCCTGGTCGGTGTCATAGTAATATCCCTGTGCAAGCACATTTTCTCTGGGCGCCGCCCGCGCGTCGTCTAGGCTTAAAAACGTCGACGACATGCCCAATGGCTGCCACAACCAGTCGTGCAGAATGTCTCCCAGCCACTGGCCGCCCGCCAGCGTCTCCACCGCGTGCGACAGCACCAGGTACATCAGGTTGCAGTACCGCCACTCGGTCCGCGGCGACGTGTGCAGCGGCAGGTATCGCAGACTTCGCGTGACATCGCGCACCGTTGCGTTGCGGCCGGCGCTGTCGGGGGCCAGACCATACCGCCGCGACCGGGACGGGTCGTGTCCCGCGAGGCCTGTGCGGTGTGCCAGGGCGTCTTCGACCGTCAGACGAGCCGTGGCCCAGGCGTGGTCGCGGTCGGTCGTCGTGTCGCGGCTGCGACCAGCATACTCGCTGCCGACAACAAAGTCGTCTGGCAAGATGGTGGACAGTGGCGTCGTCCAGTCGAGCTTCTGCTGTCCGCTCCCGACGGAATAGTTGCCGCTGTCGACCATGAGCGCCAATGCGGCTGCTACAAACGCTTTCGTCGTGCTGGCCGTGTAGAACAGCGTGTCGGGCGTCACGGCCTTGTCTGGATATACGGCTGTCCCGAAACCCTCTGACCACGCGAGGTCGCCGTCTACCACCGCGATCGCGACGCCCGGCACGTGCCACGTTGCCAGATTGTCAGCGACGAGCGCACGAAAGGCATCGTCAAACGGACTGGAAGCAATGGCAGCCTTGGGTGCGCCGGAGATGGAGGCAAGGTTGGTCTCGCCATGAAATGCAGCGCCATTGCTGTCCACGACAAGGGGCTGTTGGCCGGGACTGGGAACCTGGTAAGCCGTTGCTGTCGTGGCGCATACAAATAGCAACGTCGTTTTGACCCAGCTGACAGTGCCAGTATGACGTCGTCGTGGCTTCGTTGCCCTTGTTGGCCAGCCCATTGCTGTCAATTTTTGTACTACAGAGGACGGTTATGTTAATTGTTGACGGGCAAGCGGTTTGGGTGCTTTCCAGTTCGGCCATGGCGCAAGGCTGGCTTAGGCGCGATGCGAGGATGCTCATTGGTTAATGTGTATTACGACATACTGAATACCTGATGACATGCGCGCCTGTTTATATTGTACTTCTGAAATAATGACGCGAGTGACGATTGATAATTTGCATTGACGGATGAAGATGTAGTAAGCAAAATAGCTATTTGGTATCCGCCCGATTCTTTCCTACAAGACCTCCAGCCAATTCTCATACAACTCCCCCATTTCCTGACCCTTTGCCCAGATACCGTAAAAATCCTGCCCTTGTTGTTGGGACTTAAAAATGCCCCGTAGATACACCCATAAAGCTTTGAAACACGAACAAGCAAAAATCACAGTAGTAACGACAACGGTCTCTTGCCGGCCCTACTTCTTCTCCTTCTCATACGCCTTCAGAAGCGCTTCGCATCCGGTCAGGTTGGCCCGCGGTTCCCAAGTGTTTTCGCTCGCCGAGTAGCCGGCCCACTTGACGTTGTACTCGATCACTGAAGTCACTGGATTGACGCGGTCCGCGTCAATCGACTCCACCACGTATTCGGCCGCCTCCTCCTTGGGCTTGGGGCCACGCTTTTTGCCGGTCGTGGAAGCGGCCGTCTTGGTCGTCTTTGTCGTCTTTGTCGTCTTGGTCGTCTTGGTTGTTGCGCCGGGCTTGCGGCCACTCTTCTTGCCGGTGGCCGAGGCCGCAGAAGTGGCGGCCGAACGTTTGGGCGGCGGCGGAGCCGTGGCAATCTTGTGCGCCTTGAGTGCTGCCTGACGGCCTGTTAGAGGACGAGCCTTGACTGGGCTGCTACCAGAGGTGGCATTCTTGCTGCCGGGCGGGCGGCCTCGGCGGGCACCCGACGGGAACGTGGAGGCCGGCTTGGGCGCCGCTTTTTCACCAGCAGCCTTGGCAGGACGGCCGGCTTTCTTGCTCGGTGTAGCAGCACCCGTCGAGGCACCGGGCTGGCGGCCGCGCTTGGCCGGCGTTGCTTTTGTGGCGGCTTTGTCGTCATTGTCAACCTCCTTCTCCACATTCTCTTTGTCCTCGACCGCCGTAGATTTGGCTGCCGAGGACGCAGGTCGTCTTGACTGTGCAGACCGCCCACGCTTGGACGCTGGTGTCTCGGCGTGATCTGTTGCCTTGCGCTTGGTCGCCGTGCCAGCCCGAGGTGTGTGTGCCGTAGACTTGGTGGACGGGGTGGCCCTGGCAGCGGCCGGAGGAACACGCGGGGCGCGTTTTCTCGCAGAACGACCCGATGCACTGGTCTGTTCGGGCTCGTCATCCTTGGTCTCGTCGTCCTTTGTCCCTGGTGTGGGCGTTGGCGTCTTGCCGTTGACTTTCGCGGCCGCGCCCGCTTTGGGCTTCGTGGCCTCCTTTAGAATGTCGCTGACAACTAGGCTAGCTGCGGCGGCTGTCTCATCGTCAATGTTGTTGTCAGCCTCGTCGTCCGCCGACAGACGCACGATCGTCGGTGTCGCGTCGCTCGACTGTGCAGGGCCAGCGACTTGCGTCGGGCCACTGACGCGTTCCACCGCGCGAGGCATGATGCTTGTTCTGTAGGATAAGGGTGAATGTCAGTTTGGAAGGAAAATGAACGGTTAACGTGAAACGGTAAGAACAGGACGAAATGATGCCAAAATCGTTGTACGACGTGAGATAGCGCGGTTTGTTGACGTGATATTGCGATTTCCTCCTCTTGACATGAAAGTCACCACAATGCGCCTACGCCCACATTTCGACTGCCGAAGAGCAACGACAGCAGCGCCATCCGATCTTTGCTATGGACAGGGCCGGGATGTTGCCAGTGTAACGCGCGACGACAATGATAAAGAAAATTAGACATGTCAGATGCATCACAAAGAGCGTCGCGCGCAATTCGATATTTTCGCACTGGATACCACAAAGCGCGCTCCTTTGTCGCAAACTCTAAATGTACGACCTGACACAATAAAACCACAATGCACGACAAGTTGCAACTGCAAACAACGTGCGGTGGTACAAAAA